TTATTTGGGTGGAGGTTAAATGGTTGTGTTCATTGTATGAAAAATAAAGTTGTACATTTATGAGGTGTGCTTTGATGGTTTACTGCAATAAAACTATTTTTTAGAAACAGTAATTTGTTCCAAAGTTCTAGAGAAATTAAGAATGCTTCTATTCTTTTGTTAGCTAACTTAAAAGTTGAGTTTTATAATAGCGTTCAGAGGTGCTGAATTTAATGATTTACAGTCTAGAGAAGTTTACAGAATTAGGAGTGTTGTTAAAAGGCTTGATATAATGTATCTTAAAATTTTTATAGAGCAGCATTGTATCTTGAAATGGAATAGGTAATAAATTTTGAAATATACATATATCAAAGTTTTAAACTTAATTTCTAACTCTGATATCAGGTAAAAGTTCATAAGAATTGTGATATTATTGGATGAGGTTCATATTTTGCCATTTAAAAATTTTACTGTTCTTTTGATTGGATAAGCAAAAAAGATTAGATTAGTGTTGGCAAGGCTAGATGAATTTGTAGAAAATAAATGTACTGTAGCATTAGATTCTGATCTCTTCCTGGTGTTTTCTGCATTTTGTCCTTTATTACAGCATGAATCTAGAGAAACATTATTGGGATTTAATATGGTGAATTACAGAGCATGTAAAAATTTGTGGAAAGCATGTGTAGAACATCACACATTTTTCCGTTTGGACAGACCACTTCCACCTCAAAAGAATTTTTTTGCACATTATTTTACTTTGGGTTCAAAATTCCGGTATTGGTAAGTATTGCTTCTGCATAAGTCTTTATTGTTGGATTTATCCTTCCTTTAAAATAAAGGTATAGTTTATGGAGCCATTGAATCTTTGTTATTCCCCATATCTACTGAGTCAAAATTTCATGGAGTAGGGTACTTAGATCTGTATCAAGTAAAAAACTCTGAAGTTCTTGTGATGCATACATTGCATTTGAAAGCCCCAATCTTTTGACTATATTCTGGGTCATTTTCTAACATAATTTTCTAACATAATTATCTATTTTCTAACATAAATTATCTGTATTTACTTATTTCTAATCAACACAGGTGTTAAAATTTCCATGTGTCTTTGTTAAATCTTTACAAGAAATTTTTCTTTATTTTAAGATACCGTTTGTATTGGTAAAAAAAAAAAAACCAAGATACCGTTGTTTGAGTATACAATTACTTTGTCCTTTTGCCCAGAATTCAGGAGTCTTGATGGTAGTATAGGATAAGCACTAGACTGCTAACTGTAAGGTTGGCAGTTCAAACCCACCAGCAACTCCTCGAGACAAAGACAAGGTTGTCTGCTTTTATAAAGATTTTCAGTCTTTGAAACCCTTTACAAGGTTGTTAGGAGTCATCATTGACTTGATGGCAGTTGGGTTTTTTTGTGTAATATTTATCGTCTTTGGAGTTGTTTTAAACTCTTTGTTGTAAAATATTCCAAACAGCTATTAGGCAAAATCAAATTTCCTTTTTCTAAAATTATAATATTAGTTATTTTTTGTCAGTGTTTTTCCCTCCTGAAGGCAACAGTCTTACAGCAAAATTCTGAATTTGAAGAAGCTAGATTATTGAGCTCGAATTTATTTTGTCTATGGAATTCTTAAAAGGCCCATGAAAGCTACTTTTTAAATAAATTTTGAAATAGGAATCATATCATGTAGGAAAAAATACACATGGTGTTCTCATTTTTTAAAAAAATGCTTTTCTTTTTTGTTACTGCTTCACAAATTATGATTTTCTAACTTTCATTGAGTGAATTGAGTGAAAGCTTACAGAGCAGATCATCAGTTTCACATTCAACAAAACATGCACTTCTTTTCATTTCAGTGATTAGACCATTTAATTAATTTCATATTCATGAGGAAAATGTTTAAATGTTGCCCAGAAAATATGTTATTTAAATATTTATATTATACTATAAATGCCCCATTTGTCAACTCAGTGAAGATAACAGTATATAGTACTGTTATTTTAAAATAAATGGCAAGAAAAGGTAGGCTAAAAATTCACCAACAATAATTAAACAGAATTAGGAATATTAAAATGTCTGTGTCTTAATTATCTAGTGCAGCTATAACAGAAATATCACAAATAGATGGCTTTAGTAAACCAACTTGTGTTTCCTCACAGTTTAGGAGGTTAGAAGTCTACACTCAGCATGCTAGGTGTAGGCAGGGTAGTCTTTCTATCAGCTCTTGAAGAATGCCCTTGTTCCTTCTGAGCTTCTGATCTGGGGCAATTGTCACGTGGCTTGGCATCTCTCTTTCCCCTTCTCTGCTGTGCTCACTTGTTTAACTTCTTGCATATTCAAAGAAGACTGACTCAAAATATGCACTATATTGATCAGCATTTCAGTAATATAACGAAGACAACCCATTCCCAAATTGAATTATTGCATCACAGGTACAATGGTTAGGATTTGTAACACATAGTGGGGGAGTGGGTGGCACATAATTCAGTCCATAATAAACTCCCCAAAAAGAAGTAAATGCACAAAACATTCTCAAGTAATATTGCTGCCATATTTAGTTCCTATTACACTTTACTGAAATTAAAACTAATAAATTGAAGGTAACAAATACTTACAAATTTAAAAGTAAATAGATTGAGGAAGAAAATATCAGACCAAATCCTAAAGTCAAGATAAAAGCAGATAGCCCTACCTGCTGGTACTAAATCTCAAAATAAAGGAATCTCCAAGATTCTGTGTGAAATGAGAGCACCGTATAATCCTTAGAGTATTCCCTCAATGAGCTTAATATATATTCCTAAGTAAGTGGCAACTTGGTTTATTGTGTAAGGACTGTAGTTACCTCCCACCACCCATTAGTCAGTTACAGTTATTGTACTGTTGTAGCCTGAGTGTTACTATGGTCCCAGAAGCTATGCCACCAAAATCCACTGCACTGCCATCAAATCATCCAGCTCATAGCGGCTCTATGTAGCTGGGTAGAACTACTCCATAGGCTTTCCAAGACTGTATAGTGCTGTATTGAAAACACCATGGCTTCGGTCAGGCGCACCTTAGTCCGCCAGCTGACATCTCTGCTCTTCAATACTTTAAAAAGTTCCTGTGCAGCAGATTTGCCCAATGCGATACATCGTTTGATCTCTTGACTGCTGCTTCTACAAGTGTTGATAGTTGATCCAAGAAGAATGAAGTCCTTGACAACTTCAATCTTCTCTCCACTGATAAAAATGTTGTATATTGGTCCAGTGGTGAGTATTTTTGTTTTCTTGACATTGAGATGCAATCCATATTGAAGGCTGAGCTCTTTGATCTTCATAAGTAAATGTTTTGGAAGAAGTGCAGCCAGAGTGCTCCTTGGAGGCCAAGATGGCTAAGCTTCATCTCTCATACTTTGGACATATTGTCCGGAGGAAACAGTCGCTGGAGAAGGATGTCATGCTGGGTAAGGTGGAGGGTCAGAGAAAAAGAGGAAGACCCCTAACGAGATGGATCAGCCAGGTGGCATCATTGATGGACTCAAGTGTGGCAGCGGTAGTGAGGTTGGCCCAGGACCGGACATTGTTTCGTTCTGCTGTGCATGGGATCACTATGAGTTGGTTCTGACTCGATGGCACCTGACAACAGCAACATAGTGCTGTAAGATAAATATTGAATTGCTAACCACAAGGTCAGCGGTTCAAACCCACCACCCACTCCTCACAAACCCTGTACAGGGTCACTATGAGTCAGAACAGATTCAACAGCATTTAACAACAACAACAGATCTTTACACCAGCAGACAACTTCATCTTTCTCCCACAAGGGGCTAATGGGTTTGAACCACTAACCTTGAGGCTAGCCACCCACTGTGCCACCAGGGCTTCTTCTATGCCACCAATATTTTAAATACCAGCAGGTTCACCCATGATGGTCAAGTTTCAGCTGAACTTCCAGACTAAGATTAACTGGGACAGAAGGCCTGGAAATTTACCTCTGAAAATCAGACAATGAAATCTCTATGGAACACAATGGAATATGACCTGATAGCATGCTAGAGAATGAGTCCCCTAGATCAAAAGACACTCAAGATACATGGTGGCAGCAAGTAGGAGCTCAAGCATACCAACCATCTGGAAGCTAGAGCAGGAACAATATTTTGTTCTATTGTACGTTGGGGTCACCATGAGTTATGACTCACTGTCTGCTAACAACCTCTTCTCTCTCTCACAATTTTGCGCTGTAAAGCAGGGGTGGGAAACCTTTGTTCTGCCAAAATTTATAACATCATATGTGAGCCATACAAAAATTAATCAATTATATTTGGTCAAACAATTAACTCACCCCTAATTCTGCTCCTGTAAAGATTTACAGCCTCGGAAACCCTTTACAGGGTCTCTATGAGTCAGAACTGACTCCATGGCACATAACAACAACAATGTGGTGAGTAAGGAGCTCTGGTAGCGTAGTGGTTACGAATCGAGCTGTGAACCTCACGGTCAGCAGTTTGAAACTACCAGCTGTTCTGCGGAGAAAGATGAGGCTTTCTGCTCCT